CTAATCGCCCAGACATCGTCATTAGAGACAGCAAAAACAAAAAGTATCTCCTTATTGATATGTCAATCTCTGCAGACTGTGATGTATCTTTGAATATCTTCAAAAAGTTATCAAAATTTCAAGGTCGTTGAAATCAAAATCTGACAAATGAGAACATCAACAATTCCAATTGTAGTTGGAACACTCGGATTTATTGGGAAAAAATCTCATAGACTCATTGAAGGGATTCCTGTTAGACCAAGCCTTAAAGAAATACAAAAGATTTTCTCACGAGTACTGCCTACACCTTACGAAGGACTTTATGTAAAATATGTGTGATTTTTTTCAAAATTGCTCAGTGGAAAATGTCATGCCATTTCTGACCTTAGGTCTCTGGCCGGGATCCGGAAAGAAATGAGTACACACCAGAAGAAATAATAATAATAATAATAATAATAATAATAATAATAATAATAATAATGTAAAGAAAAACAGGTGAACTTGTAGTGAAACAATATTCAATGCAATTTGACTACTGCCCATAATTAAGGTTGGGTATTTTCCTTTTTCGTCAAGTCAGAAATGTGGTTCTATAGAAGGAAGCCGAGTTATACCATAGACCGAACATGTGAGCAACGATAAAGCTCTACAGACAATGATAACAAAAATCATACTTATTATTAACATCAGGAAGAGAAAGTTGAAATTTTAGTGCACATAATGAGGAAATAAGGCTTTTGAAAAATTTAATACTCACAGAATAGATTGAAGGCAAGAGGGACAGAGGAAAGCGACACATAATTTACCTGAAGAGGTTGAGTGACTCAATGATGGATCAGGATTTGGGAGAGATGGCGAAAAGAGAAAATTTATTGAGAGCTACAAAGTACAGGAAGCTGTAGAGAGCCATGATCCCAACATCCATGGAATGGACATGTCACAAAGAAGAAGTTCGAAAGGGAGACAACTATGGGACCCTTCACCACAAATAATGATAATAATAATAACCCGAGTCACTCACAATTGGAGCGAAATACAACCGGAATACAATGGAATAACATCTCTACGGGAGAACGGCCTAGCGGATCACCGTTGACTCCTTCGACAAATTATTATTATTATTATTATTAAGCACTATCCAGAAGGAAGACGAATAGTGCTGGATCATCGATATAGCAGTACCGAAGGGTACAGTGGTAGTTGAGAAAGAAGAATAAAAAGGAACGGTTGAGGCCTGAGACATAACTTGTGGGAGTTTGTGGATGTGAGGTTGGTGTATAACGGCTCGGACTGAAAAATCAGAGATCCGGGTTTGAATTCCAGTCAGATTTGTTACATTCACTTACACACAAATACTCTTGGGATTAAGGTATGAATCCTTCTCCTCTCCCCAGCTATGTGTTAATTAGTAGAAAAATTCAATGTCATTGCAATAAATCATTCGCAAACAAATAAAGAATTAAACTTGGAATACAAAATAAGTTTCAGCTTTAAATAACTCACAAAGGGTTGATAAATCATAAAATATAAATCAATCACAATCAATTGTGGGAGTTTAAGTAAATAGAAGTTGTTCTTGCTATTGTGGACTCCCTTGGAACAGGGTAAATTGGGAATGCGATTTGAACTGAAATACTTCAGAAAACACTAACTGCTTGCGATAGACAGAAATTTGAAAAAAAAGTTCTGTTGATGTAGAGATTTGAAGAAATGACAGGATCTGTGGCCATTTGTTATGATCCTTTCCCGATCGTTAGATCTACTTCTAAAAGAGACGATGGAAATAATAATAATAATAATAATAATAATAGGGAAAAGAAGAAAGAGAAAAGAGAAATGAAAAGAACTAGAGATGATGATGTTGATAAGGAAGAAAAAAGATGAAAGAAGACAATGATAAAAAGAAAATGAAGAATTAAAGGAGATTGTAGTCAAAGGTTAAGATTAGGAAAGTTGCCAAAAACTCAACAGCAATTACAACGGCGATTCAGAGGTAAACAATAATAAATAGAGTGGGCCTGTGAGATTCAAACAGACGACGCCATTCAATCAACAAAACCCGACAGTTGATGTAGGTAAACAAATCTATTAAATTATGGACATAACGGTTTCTTGTAGGCCACATTATAGCAAAAGGAAGTGTGTGAAGAAATTGGAAAAATCTTGCTCGAGAATTGAAAACTGCCAAAAAATGAAAACGGAAAGACACGTGATAAAATTAGTAAAACTGGGAGTCAGAAGAAGAATCGATATTTTTGCGAATACAGCATTCCAGGACAACTAGCAAGACAAATAGCAGAAGAAATCTTCCATTCGTTGGCAAAAGTTAATGGATAAATCTAAACGAGCATAAAGAACACAGAAGCGAAAACATATGACAAAATGATGTTTAAGTTGACATGATTTCTCCAACCTTAATTACAGAATATTTTAATATGTTTAAAATCACCCGAACTTTAGCAAAAATTAATTTCTAATCCGATGAAGAATTAGTAAAGTCTTGGTACCAAAGACGAAAACTCATCAGAACAATTACCATGAAAATATTTATAGAAAAGATGCAGGGAACCTATGTTCTAATGGTGGAAAGTGACTGAAGCCAAGATGCCAGGTCAGGACCAACAACATTGCAAATTCTTCAAGATCAAATTCGATTTGCTGCATTCCAGTGACGTAAGACATCTCGTTAGGGTTTATGAGTATTACAAATATCTTGCAAATCGCAAGAAATTACATTCGTCATTGGAGACCTGAATGCCAAAGCTTTTAAGGAGAGAGATGGTGAAATAGTTGGTAAATTTAGACTGGGAACTCGTAATGAACATAGAGAAAAATGGGTCCAGGGATCAGGTATTAGCCAACATCTGCTTTCAGGAACACTTAAGACATATATTTACTTTGAGAAGCCTAGGGTGGGAAATAAACAAACAAGCAACCCCTCCCCCCAAAAAAAAAAAAAAAAAAAAAGAAAAAGAAAAAGAAAAAGAAAAAAAGAACAAAAGAAAAAAAAATAAAGAAACGAAACAACAGATTTACACTCCAAAACAATTACCGACTGCAAGAGTGACCACTTTCCAGTGATGTGTAAATGTAGAGTGAAACTATGGAACTGGAAGATGGCCAAGGCTACATTCAAATTGCAATACGACAGACTCATGATGAACGCAGAGAAAAATGGGTTCAATGGTACCCGTCGAATGATCACATTGAGAAGCTTTAGTAAGATCAGCAATCGAGATCATCCTACAGAAAAATAGACAACGGAAAAAAATAGATGAAATTCTCGACATGATGGAAGGGGAAACAAAAATCAATACCAACGCACGTCACGGACACTTCACAAAGAGATTAGGAACAAATTCAAGCAGGCTAAAGAGGCATGACTCAATAAAAAATGTGTAGATATAGACAGATATGCATAAAAGAATAAGAGAACAGGACAAAAGACTTGCTCACAAACAGGATGCATAAAATCCAAGGACTGATATTAGAGAAAGAAAAATGATTCAGAGATAGAACGAGTACATCGGAGAACACTTCCATGAGAAAAGAGGACAATTCGCAGTGGATAGAAATATCGAATGACCAGAAATATTAAAATCTGAAGTGAAAATCAGCACTGGTTAAACTGAACAAGAAAAAAGAGGCAGGACCAGATGGAATTGTAATTGAGATGTTGGCAACCTCAGATGATTTCGGCATTGACAATATTACAATTATAAATCAAATATACAACAATGGTGATATACCGGAAAACCTCGGTAGCTTAAATTTTCATAGCGCTGTCTAAGAAGCCAAGTGCAAACGAATGTGAACTCCATGTGACAATAAACCGAATAAGTCACATAAAACTTTTTTTTAATAATTTCACCCCAAGCAAGGCGATATAGCTACTACGACACTGACAGTGAGGGAATATGAGAAAAAAGAAACATTATTAAGGTGAGCGAACAACTAGGAATTAAGTAGACAAGATATCGACTGACATTTCCTTAAAGTAGGAATTAAGAAGACAAGATATCGACTGACATTTCATTTAAACTTTTGAAGATCAAAATGGACTGGAAAGCAAGAAGCCAAAACAGTTTCGAAAGCGAAAAGTGTGGGAGAAGAAACTGATAATGTAGACATTACGGTTACATCTGACTCATTGGGATAGTGAAAGATGTCTTCCAAAAGTTAAGCAAAGTATTAAGAAACAGGAAATTTTCGTTAGAAAGAAATCAAAGAGTACTGAACTCTTATGTCACATCGGTTCTTCTATATGGCAGTGAATACTGGACAACCTCCTCACAGATGAAGAAGAGACTTGAGGCAAAATAAATATTATTCTACAGAAGGATGCTGAGAATACCATGGACTGAACATGTGAGCAACAACAAAGTTTTAGAGAAAATAGAAAAAATAATTGAAATCTCTAGGGCACGTGATGAGGAAAGAAGGATTAGAAAATTTGATACTTACAGGATATGTTGAAGGCAAGAGGGAGAGAGGGAAGCATTGGGACAACAGAGATAACAGAAAGACAAAATTTAGTAAACACTACAAAGGACAGAGAATTGTGTAGAACCATAATCGCCCAGATTCTGAAGGGACACAGAACCTAGAAGAAGAAGAAGAAAAGAAGAAGAAAAGAAGAAGAAGAAGAAGAAGAAGAAGAACAACAACAACAACAAGGAGGAGGAGGAGAAGAAGAAGGAGAAGAAGGAGGAGGAGGTGAAAAAGAAGAAAAGAAGAAGAAGAAGAACATTGATTGTTTTGTATTTTACAGATTATCGACCCTTTGCAGAGCATTTAAAGTCAGAAAAATATATTAGATGATAAGAATCTTTTTTAGATAATATTCATTTACTGATAAAAGTCCTACTAATTAACCCATAGGCGGTGGAGGAGAAGAAGGGATGGATTCATAATTTTTCCAAAGGTATTTGCGCGTAATTGAATATAAAGAACCCGATTGGAATTGGAACTCGGCTTTCCGATTCTCAATTCTTATCCATTATGTCCTCCGCACATACAAGCTTACAGCACCTGTCATTCTCAAGCGGTTACTCATCTTTGTAGTGATCAGCCTCAACTTTGCTTAACTTCACTGATCGTACGAGAACCGGAGTTTCAACGTGATATGGCGGTAAGCCAAGAAGAAGAACATGGATCAATCTGTTACTTTCTGCATCTTACTCGACTAATCATCAACGCATGACCTAACAGTAATTATGCAGGCATATAACCATTTATATACTTATATATCTGAGTTGTTCTTGTGTGTCACAATGGCTCTCCACGAGATTGGCTGGTTGATTGTTTGATTTGTTTAACGGCATATCAACTCCATATGAGTCATTTATTGCTGAAATTTAATTTTCTATGGGATCTTTGAAGTGATAAAATATATTCTGCTTTCATAGTTGAATATATGGTAGATGATACTCAGCGTTTGTGCATACATATGTTTGTGTGGACATAATTACTAGAGGCGGTGATATGTGTGTTTTATATTATAGTTTTGTTGAAGTTATATTTTGAATTACAGTTGGATTTCTTTAAGAAATTATAGGATATTATATGAATTAATGTCATGGAAGAGTTCTTTCATGTTGATTGTTTATTTGGATATACAGTGTAACCCGGATGTAAGAGTGTTGTCGGGACCGGAGAAGAAATCTCTTATATCCGGGTTTCTCTTATATCCGGGTTTGGTCTAATTTATATACATTAACACAGGCTCTAATTTGGGACCAGAGAAAATCTCTCTTATATCCGGGTTTCTCTTATATCCGAGTCTCTTATATCCGGGTTACACTGTAGCAGTATATCAACCACTATGGATTATTTAATGCCGAAATCTAGATAATTTGAACTCAATTTTATAGCCTCACTTAAATGAACGCAATTGTATGCTTTCAACTACAGATAAAATTCATTGTTGGTCACTTTACTATAATGTATTGTTGGACTTTTTTATATAAAAATGTATCACTGGTATTTTTACTATTAAAATGTATTTTTATACATTTATAGAATTTTTGGGGGGTGAGGGTCACTATTTGCCCATAGCTGGGACCCTAACAAGTGCTACCACTCCGGGTCAGGGTGGACCTTGGAAAAAATAGCACTTAAGATGTGGTTTCACGCTCCTCAAAACCTTCCAATCAGAGGTCTTGCTGCTGGATGTAGTTTATCGTCATACCCAGGATATACTAGATTGGTCCTAGTGGGCTGCAAATGTTTTTTTTTTATCTGTGGCTGAATGCAAACACGAGACGTTCTAGAGAAAGGTTGAAATGATTGCTCTTAAAATGTGGATTGAAACTACCAGAAAAAACTGAAACTGAAGCTGTCTTTTTTTCTTTTCTTCTCATGCTTCTGTCAGGTTCACTATGGTTCACTATGGTTCACTATGGTTGCGCTGGTGGCGTAACAGTTATCAACGCGAAAAGTGGAATCGGCGGTGTCCGAATTGAAATCGTAACCGAGTTTACTGCATTCACTCTTACACTAGTGCCCTTAAAGAAAGGCATAAATTCATATCTCCTTTCCACACCCATGGATTAAATCGTAAGGTAGACTGGTCTCTCTAGACTTTGCTGAACCATGAGTTAAATAGAAGGGTAGATTAATCTCTGTAGATTAGGGAAAGCAACTGGAAACTATTCAATTAAGTTTCCCAAGGAGACAAGGTATTTTGCATATATTAAAGAAACGGAATCTGTGGAGATCCATGACAACCTCCGTCCTGAAGGAACATTGGATCAAAAATAATAAAATACGGATGTCAGATTTTTGTTGGGGGTTTAACGAAAGCCTACTATTCATTTACATCAATTTCTTTAATAATTTGGAAACTAAAAATTATAAAATAGACAATTATTCTTGAATGAGTTGGCTTTACTTAAAATTTTATATAAAAATCAAAATCAATAACTGCATGGAGATTTTATAAAATTGTCATACATTCTCGAATGTGAATAGAGGGCTTTTAAAGATTTGAAGTCTAGCTTTGCTAGTATGTAAACACGGAATTCAATTTAATATGATGCCATCTTTGATTTGATGACCTGGTTGTTTTGTGTTTCTTATCAGTAACCTGAAATGAATTCTAGAATTGACAGATGATATTATCGCTTCGAGATCCGTGACAATGAACTTTAATTTCGTCTGAAAAGATCAGCCACTAGATTTAAAACCTTGAACTTCATTTCAAATTTGTTATTATTTTTTATTTGTAATGTTTCATGATTCTATTGTCGGGTAGATATCTTGAGTGCCAGGGACGATATTGCATATCAAATCACAATTGTAGTTGTATGTAGACATATCTTAAATTCTTAAAGTATGGGTTTTATAAGAGATATGTTTGTCTTGTGTTTATAGAAAGGAGGATATTTATCAGGAATCCCTCTAAGTATTTCCTACATAATGGATTATGTTTTTTTCTAATTAGCCTGGCATCTATATAATTTAAGTTATGGCCTGTTTTGTTTCTGTGTTTAACGGGTGACGGATGAATTCTTGTGGTGAATGTGCGAATTGTAATGAGTGAACAGGTCGTGAATCGTATTAGCTAGGTATAAGATAGTCAGTGAAGACCCGCCTCAATCCATTCCCTCTCTTTCGGCCTTGTGCCATAATTGTGTTTTATACAATAAATCAAGTTAAACAACAGTGATACACGGCCTACTATTATTACAATGTCATGGCGTAGAAAACATCTAACGAAGAACGAGTCTGAAATAAAAAGAAGTCAGATATTGGCAGCATTTAATTCAAATGGACAGTGGAGAGAGTTGACAGAACATATTGAAGTTGCTGAAATTTCAAGTGGACTGTGAAATAGATTCATTGCAAAGGTTCAAACGGGCGGTCACAAAATGCAACGAGAAAAGAAGTAGCGTTTGTGATGTGGCACCTTGCATTATTAGAAATATTCATAGAAATATGATTTAATTTTTTCTTACTCGGTTTACTAAACAAGTTGTTGATTTTTTTAAAACGGAAAATAATTGAGTTGAAAATAATTCACTAAGATTGTACTTAGACGATCCTAAGAGAAAGAAAGAGAAAAAGCAAAAGAGAGAGGTCGAGAAATACAAAAAGCGGTCATTAACAAAAACACGTATCAGAAAGGTAATTAGGCCAACATCTTGGCCGATTTTCGAAAGGACAATAGGGATTGTTATTTGGAAGGGAAAGTCATTTTGATAAGAATGTATAAACATTGATAATAAAGAAAAATATCGGTCGGAGCACATGACCGACTTTTGCGTGGAAAGACTCATTGTCAAATTGGAGAAAGGGGAATTTCTTTTTAAAACAATAGAAATGAAATCTTAATCAGAGAAAAAGTGTCTTTTGGGTTGAGGGGAGGACCGGTGGAATTGTATACAGATTCTGACCTGTTAAAAAATTAGAACCCCCACATTGACGAGTGAAAGATATTTTCAATGTAGATAATTAAGATTTTCTGACTGTCGGGTCTGACCAAAAACAAGAGGTGAAAAAAAACGATTGTCTCAGTTCACAGATAGCGCCAATATTCTTCCCTGAAGTCACATCTAATTAGCGGCAGGCTGTGTTGACAAAACCCAGGTGAGAAAAAGCCAAGATTATCATTTTTCGTACGTGCAGAAAAGGCAAAATTGGATTTTGTTTTTTTAAAAACAAGAACGATGTAACCCCGCCCGAAAGGAGGAGAAAGGATGCTCGATCAATAACAATTGGTCGGAAACGGGCACGTGATCTGCAGAAAAGAAGAGAAAGAAATGCCCGATCAGGAACCATTGGTCGAAAAACGGTCACCTGACATACGAGAGACTAAGAGAGATGGGTGTGCACCTCCCCACAAAGGGCACTGTGAGGAAGTAGGGGTGAAAACAATAGCGATAATGAGAAGACAGAAATAATGCGACTTTTGAAATTATCGAGAAAACCCTGACGCCGACAGACCCACCCCAGTTTGTTGCGGCGTCAATAAAAGCAGGACCCCAGTCGACAGAAATCAGTTGGAGTTGGGTTGCAGCTGGACCGCGGGCAGGGAAAGAGCCTGAACGCGGGCATCGGGCCCGATTCACTCGCCCCTTTGCGGGCAAAAGAATCCTCAGACAAGAAATCCTCCCAGCCCAAGTCGAAGACAGAAGAGTTCAGCCCCGGACGGCAGCGAGAAGAGATCACCTCGGACGACAGAGAGTTGCGGCTGAGTTGCGGCAAGAGAACTTCCAGCCCAAGCAGACGAAGAAGAAGATTACTCGAGAGCCGCAGAGAAGTTGCAGCCAAGTCGAAGACAAGAGAACTTCCAGCCTAAGTCGACGAAGAAGAAGAAATACAACTCAAGTCGAAGAGAAGAATCAACTGCGAATGATCGATAGAAATTAGCCCCAGTGTCGAACCAAACCACACTCCGACATACACAATTCTAAAGAGTAGGCAATTCCGAAATCTTTTAGGTTGTGTGATAGAAAGCTTGTGCCATAGTCCACAGAGCGGGTCGGGAATTGAGAACAATTTTGTTTTTATGTAACGGACATTAAGATATAAAAGGTTGTTACCCTTTTTTTTCATCAGCAATCTTTTGTCTCGTGAGTTTATTTTTTTTCTTTTACTTGTGTTTTGCCACCCCGTCGGACTCAACTTGTATCGGCCCCAATCCCTGCTGGTCCCGTCTGTCTAAGATCTAAACACAACGTGGGTAGACAGACCGGAGATCAGTACAGTTGCTTCAGTAACCAGGTATTGGAAGCGAGTTGGGAAAGGCGAGGTTGGTGATCATCCAACCAAGGGGTTGGAGCGGCACGCTTGGAACCAGGAAGAGCGACCAGGAGGAGCGACGTCACAGTTGGCGCCGTAACCAAGGGATTCGACCCTGGGCCAGGTGTGTAACCGTCACATGTGGTGCCGTGACCAACGGATCAACCCCTGAGACAACCACGTCACAAGTGGTGCAGTGACCGAGGGATTTCAACCCTGAGAAGACCACGATCGACCGCCGTTGCTGAAAATTCAGACAGAACTCAGAACGACCCGGGACCAAAGGAAAAGAAAGAACAGAATCGTCTGTAAGGTAGGACACCTTATTTTATTTCCCAACCTCGATTGTTGCTGCATAGACTGTCTTTCTCTGTAGACATGTCAGATTA